GGGCTGGCCCTGGCCCTGTCCTTATCCCCATCCCTGTCCCCGCACCGCCCCCGCCACCCCGGGCTGGCCCTGGCCCTGTCCTTATCCCCATCCCTGTCCCCGCACCGCCCCCGCCACCCCGGGGCCACCCGGAGCTGTCCCCGCGCGGGGCCAGGTCGGACCCACCATCCATCCCCGCTGGGCTGGCACCAGCTGCGGCACCGCCGAGCTCTCCCAGGCACCTCCTCGTTTAAGGACAGCAATCCCTGTTGGCGGAGGGTGCTCCGTTATTTTGCGTCACCCAAGTGGTTGGAGCGTGGTGGGCCATCGTGGGTCATCTCGTCACCCCCTGCTTCCCTGGGGGCACTGGGAGGATGAGAGGGGCCCTCCAGATCCCTCCTGTAGTCCTTCTTTTGTTGGTGGTGTTTTGTCATTGTTCATGTCAGGATGAGAATTTTTCCCAATGAAAGGTCGGTTTCAGTGTTGACTTTGAGGGAGTTGCCCGTTCAGAAGTGCTGACAGATCACCAGAGCACCCGGCCAGGTTGTGTCACCTGAAACCACCAGGACCCACGTGTTTGACACGTTTCTGACCCGTCCAACTGCTCTGAATTGTTTTCCCTTCCCAGAGCTGTAGCTACGCCTTCATATACACCTTCCCTGTGTCGTCTCCCACATCTCCTTGGACTCAATGATCTTAAAGGTCTTTTCCAATCCAAGTGATTCCATGATTCTCTGCTGAAATAAATGCACTAGAACCAGCCCAGGCCAGCAGAGCAGCCAAGGGGGCAGTGAAGGCAGACACAATCCGTGCTGGTCACACACGGTTTTCCTGCCAGCTGGTTGCTTTCAGTTGGTGTTAATAGGTTTAGCTGCTGCCCTTTTGTTCAGAATAATTCAGAGCTTCCTTGTTATCGAGGCCATGGCTGGAATAGCCCATGTTTGCCCATCTGGAAGCAGCAGAGACAAAAGCTGGTGTGACTGAAACTGCCAATGTCACAGGGCTGTGAGACCTAATGTGAGCTACAAAAACACAAATCTCTGCTCAGTCCAGGGCAAAAAAAAACCCCAAAATAGAAATGAGAGGGATTTTAACAAACCTGCTGGTTAATGGAAATGCTCTTCTTTTCCTTCATCAGTCTGCTCAGAACTGTTTCCCTTTTTAGTCTTTGTGGTGTGCAGGGATGTGCAGGGGTTTTGCTGGCTCAGCAGACCCGGCCCAGGGAGACTGACCGAGGAGGAAGGGGAGAAGTAGAAGGAAGCTGATCACACCCAGAGATCATAGAGGTCCCTTCCCACCCAAAACATCCTGCTCAAACCTGGCTTTTGTTTTCCATCTGCCAAGTAATCCGGACAAAGTGACTGTGGCACTTCTTGGAGTTCGGCAGGACCTTGGGTTCCCCTGGGTGAGCCGAGGGTTTTGGGCTGTCTGTGGTGTGAGGAGCTCAGTGTTTTTTGTTCCTTCCTGGGCTGCTAGCACGGCTCTTGCTGGCAGTGTCCAGCCAGGTCAGGCTGTCTCAGCCGACCTGCTGGGTACCAAAATACAGGGGGTGTTCAGCAGGGTCTCTAGAGGATGACAAGGACAAACCCGCTGGGCATCACTGTCGGCAACATGAGCTGGGCATCCGGCATCTAGTCAGGGCCATTTCGGTGACTTCTGTTTGAGATTTTTGGGTGTGGTTTGACTTTTGTTTAGCCCTTTTACTGGTAGATTAATTTGCCATAATCCCATTTGTAGCTAATTAATATGTGAACTCAAATGGAAATGTTTTAAACAAGTCATTCAAGTAACGTGGAATTATAAACACGGAGTATTAAAAGCGTGCAGGGTGTGTGTGTGGCTGGTGGGTGCTGTGGTGTTTGATGGATTGGTTGTTTCCCAAATGCACGTGCTCCCATTCCCCAGTTTGCCTGCAGTGCTGGGCAGTGAGTCACTGCCAGCAGGACCCAGCTGGGACACGCTGGGGCTGCAGCTTGGGACAGCCACGGCTGTGCTCCAGACCTGTCTCCTGGGGTTTATGCCCAGCAGTCTTGAGGCTTGCAGTGACCCAGGCCCTTCCTCAGAGCAGAATTCCTGTTGATCTGGATGAAGTGTTTTTTAATCCCCTTCCCCAAGTGACTCCCTTACATGTGGTGCCGGCACCCGGCGCTTTCTCCAGGAGACAAATAAAGGCTCAGGGGACCTTAATAAAGGCGGGGGGACCCTGCTTGTGGGTGCCCACCCACTATCTGGGACAGGAGAGGTGAGTCCCCCCTTACCCCTTACATGGGATGTGCCATGACATGAAGATCTCCAGGGATTGTCCCTGCCAATGAGTCCCATCCATTGGCACAGCTCCAGAGCATTTCTCCTGCCGGCATCGAGCTGAAACTGCCTCCTCTGAGCTCCCAGGTGGGGACACAAGAGCAGCAGGACCCTCAGTGGTGGCACCTGGACCTGGTGCAGAAATTCATCAGCTTTAGAGCCCGCTGCTCTGCCGGAGTCTGCTGACTTCAGCTTCCTGAACATTTCTGATGAAAAGCTGCACTTCCCTTCCTGTCCCCATCCGAGGCCGACCCGTGGCTGGGCCGTGGGTAAGTGCTTTCCCAGGCAGCAGGGCTTCCCTGCCTCTTACTCCTGCTGTGCCTGGCGCAGCTGTCCAGGGGCCAGCACTGGGAGCCATCCCTGGGAAGCTCTGCCTGTTGTGACCGTGTGGGGCAGAGGCTCCGTGTGCCTCTGTTCCTGTGCAGGGCAGGTGGTGGTGGAGGGCTGTTACCGAATGAGGGAGGCACTCTGGGGGCTTTAACTCCTTTGGCCTTTCATGGATTAAGAGAAACCGGTTCCACCCCCCACCCAACTGATGGGTGGAACAAATAAAATCCAGGGGTGAAGCCCTCCCAGGGCTCTGCATCCCCCACATCCTGGTGAGGGTCCTTCTGCAGTTACAGCCCCACCAGTGCTGCCTTTGAGTGGGGTATTTTCTCTTGCTGACTGACACCCCCCAACAGTTGAATACAGTCTCAACTATATGTGGGACACCATAAGGGACAAAGTATAAGGTTGTACCAAGTGAGAAATTAAACTCACTAAAGCAGAGAATAATATTGTTCCTTTGTAACAATCTTGGGCGTGAAAGCCAGTGATAGAAACTAAGTTACTTTGAGCTAGAAATGTGAGTTATTTTTGTTGTAAAGTTGGCTGAATCCCTTCTTTTTCATGCCAGGAGTACAGAGAGTTGCTGGCAGTCCTGTATGTTGCACTGGCAGTACTGAGGCCACCGTGGCCTGGCCCTGGTCAGGGAGGGAGAAGGACTGGGAGGTGTCCATCTCCTCGGGCTGGTGCCTGTCCCCTCAGGCTGGCCAGGGCCAGGGCCTGATGTGGGCACTGGAGATTCAGCCCTGGCAGCAGCCCTGGGCCACCGTGGCCAGCACTAGTGTGACAGAGAAGCCTCACTCAGGCCACACGCTCGAGGCCATAAGGGACGCCAGAAGCTGTGACTGTAAGAACAGCTGCTTTACAGCAGTTTCTTTCTGTGGTTTTTTTAATCTCTCCTGCTCACTGAACTCTGTCGTGTGTGTGGTAGTGCAAACCCATTTATTTCCCCTGTTCTTTGATCTGCTCTCCCAATTAAATATCAAATGGAATTGCAGAAATGTCAGGTTGAGGCTTTTCTCATTAATATCTGAGTACTGTCATGGTGAAAATTGTCCTTTGAAGCTGGAGGAGCTCTGAGTTCTCATGCAAATGTTGTGTATGTGGTTCTGCACTTGATTTCTGTCCTGTGTGAAGCTCTGCAGTGTGCCTGGGATGTGCCTGTCAGTACTCAGTCTCCCCAGGCGGTGCAAGCACTTTATCCTGAAGGATAACATGATAAAGGTATATTTAGGGACTGGATGGGCTTTTCCCCAAGAATGGAATTGTATGGGGGACCCAGGGAAGGTGCCACCACCATCTTTGTCCCTGCAGGTCCCTGCAGTGCTGTGTGTGGGAACTGGCTTGTCCCCTTAGGGAACCCCATGTCCCCCAGCACAGCAGACCCGTTCTGGACAGGTTTCTGTGCTGTTGTTGGATGTGGTGCCTGAGGGTTTAATGCTGTGAAGCGTGGGAAGCAGCATGGCATTGGAACAGGTTATTTTAATGGGATTGAAGCTGCTCAGAGAAGCCTGTCTGCCTGGTTCTCCAGAAACCCATGTCCTGGTTCATGGGAAGGCTGTAGGGACAACATCTGGAATCTGTTCTTGCGGTACATTACAGCCAGATCCTGGG